AATCTTCAGAGTGAAAACAACATCTTTATCCACTGTAACGGCACAAAGCTCTAAGCTGATTCACTTCATTCTTCTCTTTAAGATGTTTGAATCATAAATGGCCACGTATAGCTTCAGCCAAGCGAGAAACAACTTATCCAACTCCCCTCAGTTAACTCGATCTAACCTCGTAACTTTTGCAGACATGCGTAATAATTTAGCGCTTCAACGAATTTTGACGCATTAATTCGCATATTCACGCTTTCAGATGAAGCTGTACTCATCGCTTCTAACATGGATTCCATTGGTTAGTTGTATAGTTATTGACAGCGATTACAATGTTGCAATGGACGATGAAGTGACAACGTTAGCCTCATCAGCAAAACGAAAAGATCGAAATTGTACCAGAGATACAGCAATCATCGATAAACTTCTGAATGGAACTGGATACAACAAGTTTCGAATACCAAGTAGGTCATTTCTTCATATTTTTTGTGTGCCAACTTTGTCTTTTCTTCAACTTAACTCATCCATTTGCAAAGGAATACCACGTATTGAATCTCATTGCAATTTCTGAAAAAGGGATGGAGTCTTTCTTGCAAATTTAATGGCAGCTCCTCCAACCATTAGAATGACACGCAAATAAGTAAATTGAGACGAAAATGGAGGCAAACTCAATCCTTTGTTTAAGATACAGGGGATTGAAATTTGAATTTGTAGTCACGTGCTGATGAAAACTCTTACAGATCATGTCAACTGCTTTATTATCTTTCACCTTGGACCATTAATCAATTATCGTAGCATAATTCTAATCAAAATTAAAGACCTTAGAGACTAAGTTTAGACTAGTCAACTGATTGCCTCCATATCTTTTTGAACTAAAAAGCCTTAGAAATTTGAAAAGGCCAAATCAGAAAAGTATCTGTTTAGCGTGAGCGCTGATTATACACGTCTCTGATGAGTACATAAACAAATATTGGACTTGCTTGATGCTGGGACTACGTCGTCAAAATAATTTCACTCAATCCATTTGATTTCAAAAACCCAGCTACTCCTAATCTGCATTCATATCACTCATACAATTACAAAATTCTGCTTTCTACCAGAGATCTCCTTTATAGCCAAAATCATATGATTCGGAAACTGCTTCAACGTAAAATGCTTTCATGTCTCACTGAAACTCAAAACCAAAAAGTATGTCCAAGGTGTTCAAAATTCTGGGCTGGGGCTAAGAACAACTATCCATTTCATGGAAAGATTTGTGTAGCTTATACATAAAAGCGACAATTAAGTGAAGTTAACGAATATTATAACAGTGTTTGAAAAAATTCTGCTCAAGCTCTATAAGTTGGACGGCAAAAGTTATCATAACCGTTACTTTGTTTGACAGTAAAATTTATGTCCTGCTATCTAGAAACAGGCTTTAAGCCTTAATGCCATTAATTTCTGAATTAGAATATTTGCGTATAAATTATTG